CGTATGACAGGGTGGATAGGGGGGCAATGTGGCAGATGTTGCAAGTGTATGGTGTAGGAGGTAGGTTACTGAAAGCAGTGAAGAGTTTTTACGAGGATAGTGAGGCTCAAGTTAGAGTATGTAGGAAAGAGGGAAATTTTTTCCCAGTAAAAGTAGGCCTTAGACAAGGATGTGTGATGTCACCGTGGTTGTTTAATATATTTATAGATGGGGTTGTAAGAGAAGTAAATGCGAGGGTCTTGGCAAGAGGCGTGGAGTTAAAAGATAAAGAATCACACACAAAGTGGGAGTTGTCACAGCTGCTCTTTGCTGATGACACTGTGCTCTTGGGAGATTCTGAAGAGAAGTTGCAGAGATTGGTGGATGAATTTGGTAGGGTGTGCAAAAGAAGAAAATTAAAGGTGAATACAGGAAAGAGTAAGGTTATGAGGATAACAAAAAGATTAGGTGATGAAAGATTGAATATCAGATTGGAGGGAGAGAGTATGGAGGAGGTGAACGTATTCAGATATTTGGGAGTGGACGTGTCAGCGGATGGGTCTATGAAAGATGAGGTGAATCATAGAATTGATGAGGGAAAAAGAGTGAGTGGTGCACTTAGGAGTCTGTGGAGACAAAGAACTTTGTCCTTGGAGGCAAAGAGGGGAATGTATGAGAGTATAGTTTTACCAACGCTCTTATATGGGTGTGAAGCATGGGTGATGAATGTTGCAGCGAGGAGAAGGCTGGAGGCAGTGGAGATGTCATGTCTGAGGGCAATGTGTGGTGTGAATATAATGCAGAGAATTCGTAGTTTGGAAGTTAGGAGGAGGTGCGGGATTACCAAAACTGTTGTCCAGAGGGCTGAGGAAGGGTTGTTGAGGTGGTTCGGACATGTAGAGAGAATGGAGCGAAACAGAATGACTTCAAGAGTGTATCAGTCTGTAGTGGAAGGAAGGCGGGGTAGGGGTCGGCCTAGGAAGGGTTGGAGGGAGGGGGTAAAGGAGGTTTTGTGTGCGAGGGGCTTGGACTTCCAGCAGGCATGCGTGAGCGTGTTTGATAGGAGTGAATGGAGACAAATGGTTTTTAATACTTGACGTGCTGTTGGAGTGTGAGCAAAGTAACATTTATGAAGGGATTCAGGGAAACCGGCAGGCCGGACTTGAGTCCTGGAGATGGGAAGTACAGTGCCTGCACTCTGAAGGAGGGGTGTTAATGTTGCAGTTTAAAAACTGTAGTGTAAAGCACCCTTCTGGCAAGACAGTGATGGAGTGAATGATGGTGAAAGTCTTTCTTTTTCGGGCCACCCTGCCTTGGTGGGAATCGGCCGGTGTGATAATAAAAAATAAAAAATAATACGTAAAACACTGTGGCTCGTAAGACGTATATATACGACCGAAACAGTCAAAGGGCTAAAGGCTCCCCATTTTCATTTAACCCTGGCACCCGAACTTTACCTACTACTGTACTCCCTCCACAACATTTTTACTCACTCAACATTTCCCAAAATCTCTCTCTCTCTCCTCTACACTTCTTTCCTCTCCTGGTGCATAAACATGATGCAAGTAATAGCAGTGTCATGTGCTCAGCAATCAGGGAGCGGCTCATAAACCAAAAATCAACAGGTTTACTAGCCACTCCCCGAGACAGAGACAAGCATATGGAAAGACACACACACATAGGAAGACAGAAAGACAGATAAGCAGAGCTAGACAGATAGACAGACAGATGGACAGACAGACTGACAGAGACAGACAGACATGTTTGTGTGCAACAGTGAAAACAAATAAAGCCAGGGTTCCCTGCAGCAGCTCACATTCATCAAATATCATTGGCTGTCACTAGGTATCTGGCACTTGTCATAACACCAATCTTCAAGGAGTTTCATACTCCAGCATGTCTAAAACATTGCTGGGACCTATAAATACAGTGGAACCTCAACTTATGAGTGTCCCAACATACGAGTTTTTTTGAGATATGAGCCATCCTTGGGTCGATTATTTGCTCTGAGTTATGAGCCAACATTTGAGTTACGAGCCAGCCCTCCCCCCTCGACCCAAAACCTGGACACCTCGCTTGTTTATCTATGATTTCATGCTTTAATTCCATGGAAACCATTCTCTTTTTCTTCTCAGCACTGTCCTTTACACTTACTTTCTTAGAACCCATGGTTAGAAAAACTATATTTGGCTAAACGACTGTCAAAAATGTAAGCAAAGCATGATAAAACTGCTCCCACAGTGAGGTAAACAGTGAACTGAGTTGGCAGCATTCGTTATTATAATAAAAATAATAATAATTATTATTAGTGATTACCAAAACTGTTGTCCAGAGGGCTGAGGAAGGGTTGTTGAGGTGGTTCGGACATGTAGAGAGAATGGAGCGAAACAGAATGACTTCAAGAGTGTATCAGTCTGTAGTGGAAGGAAGGCGGGGTAGGGGTCGGCCTAGGAAAGGTTGGAGGGAGGGGGTAAAGGAGGTTTTGTGTGCGAGGGGCTTGGACTTCCAGCAGGCATGCATGAGCGTGTTTGATAGGAGTGAATGGAGACAAATGGTTTTTAATACTTGACGTGCTGTTGGAGTGTGAGCAAAGTAACATTTATGAAGGGATTCAGGGAAACCGGCAGGCCGGACTTGAGTCCTGGAGATGGGAAGTACAGTGCCTGCACTCTGAAGGAGGGGTGTTAATGTTGCAGTTTAAAAACTGTAGTGTAAAGCACCCTTCTGGCAAGACAGTGATGGAGTGAATGATGGTGAAAGTTTTTCTTTTTCGGGCCACCCTGCCTTGGTGGGAATCGGCCAGTGTGATAATAAAATAAAAATAAAATATTAGTGTTATTATTATTATTAAGTAATTAGAGCACAGATCCAATTCCCTAGATCAAGAGCCCCTCACCAGCATCAAGGCTCCCTGACACTGGTGCAGGGCTCTTGTTCTAGGGAATTGGTTCTGTGCTCCAGTTCCCTAAATTAATAATAATAATAATAATAATAATAATAATAATAATAATAATAATACAGTAGGGCCCAGCTTTACGGCATTTCACTTTACGGTATTCCTCTAATACGTACAGTCATTTCAAATTATGACCAAAACTCCCTATACGGCTCCCCCCACCTGACTTTCTAATATGGTCACCGTGCCCCACCCAGTTTGTTTACATTCTCCGTGAGATCCTTAAGCACTAAGTCTCTCCATTATGCCTAGAAACTCCAAAATTTCAAGTGTTTTTAAGTAATTTCATATTTTATATACGTATACGTACATACTCTGATAATTATACTTATATATACCTGTACCTAAATAAACTTACACACTGTGTTGGCATGCAGGTACACATTAAAATCAGTAAGAGTGTCTTCTGTCTCAAGACACCATCATAATAATAATAATAATAATAATAATAATAATAATAATAATAATAATAATAATAATAATAATAATAATAATAGTCTCATTAAATGTCATATATTACATTAATATACATACAGTAGGGCCCCACTTATACAGCAGGTTAGGTTCTAGGCTACTGCCGGAAAGCAGACATTGCCGGAAAGCAGAACGCCATTTTTTCCTCTTATAAATGCATATAAATGCCAGATAAATTGTGTGTGATGTGGAAGGCTAATAAGGCATGGGTAACAAGGCAGATTTTCGAAGAGTGGGTCCATGATGTGTTTGGCCCAAGTGTGAAAAAATACCTCCTGGAAAATAAACTGCCACTGAAGTGCTTCCTGGTACTGGACAATGCTCCTGCTCATCCTCCAGACTTGGAAGACCAATTGTTTAGGGGCTTCATGTGTTATAACAGTGAAGTTCTTGCCTCCTAACACCACTCCTCTCATCCAGCCCATGGACCAGCAGGTCATTTCAAACTTCAAAAAACTCTACACCAAAGCAATGTTTCAAAGGTGCTTTGAAGTGACCTCGGACACTGAACTGACCCTAAGAGAGTTTTGGAGGGATCACTTCAATATCCTCCACTGCATAAGCCTTATAGGTAAGGCTTGGCAGGAAGTGACTTCCAGGACTTGGAACTCTGCTTGGAGAAAATTGTGGCCAAAATGTGTCCAAGAGAAGGACTTTTGAAGGGCATAAGGTCGACAGGGTCGTGGAATCTATTGTGGCATTGGGGAAGTCCATGGGGTTGGATGTGAGTGACGAGGATGTAGAAGTTAGTGGTGGACCACAGGGATGAGCTAACAACTGAAGAGCTGCAAGACCTTCATCTGGAACAGCAACAGACCAGAGATGAGGAAGGAAGAGGAAGGGAAGGAGGAAGAGAGAGGGGAGAAGGTGCCTTCTTCAGTGATTAAGGACATTTGTGCAAAGTGGAATAAGGTGCAAAGTTTTGAAGGAAAATATCACCCTGACCAAGCTAAAACAAGCCATATCTGCAACATGTTCAGTGACAGAACCTTGTCTCACTTCAGACAAATCTTAAGAGACGCCAAAAACAGAGCTCTCTGGACAGACATTTTGTGCGACAGGGGTCCAGCGATTCAAGCTGGTCCTAGTGGCAGTAAAAGACAAAGAAGGGAAGTGGTAACCCCAGAGAGGGCTTTGATACCTAGAGTTCTTATGGAGGGATATTCCGCTTCCAATCAATAAATTCAACTCTTTCTCCCCTCCTCGCCTTCTTCAATATGCCAACAAGAGTCTTCAATAAAGGTATGTAATGTTTATATTTATTTATCATTTTTTGTGTTTGTAAAACTATATTTATTCCTTAAAAATAAATTTTCTGTGAACATTTTTGGGCATCTGGAATGGATTAATTGTATTTACATTATTTCTTATGAGAAAACTTGATTCAGTTTTTGCACTTTTTGGTTTTAGAACAACCTTCTGGAATGGATTAAGTTCGAAAACCGGAGTTCCACTGTACCTCTTGATTGAATTTCTTGAGGCAAAAAAATACAAAATTATACTTGGAGAATAACTTTGCTAACAATGCAAATCTATGTAGACAAAATAGAACATTATTCCTAGTTATTCTGACAGATTCATAATAATTTACCTTAGCCAAGGCACTGCCACCTGCGATGCTTCCACCCAGCAAAAGATAGCGTATCTTAAGTGCTCCACGCAGTACTCGGGCAACAATCATACCTATTCCCCTGGAAGGTATGGCATAATTTGGGCCTGGATACTTGAGGAGATCTCTTGGTAAAGAATACAATGATGAATAGTGCCTTAAAACTGGCACAATAACTGTCCTGACCTGTGAAATAAACAAAATTTATATCAACTGAAAGGTGAAATGATTGAATATACAAGTTATAAAGATTCCTTAAGGGCTAAACACATAGGAGAAACTTATGGCAAAAGAATTAACTGCATAAGGCTATTAATTTTTCCTGTTTCAAATACACTGAAGGAGGGGTGTTAATGTTGCAGTTTAAAAACTGTAGTGTAAAGCACCCTTCTGGCAAGACAGTGATGGAGTGAATGATGGTGAAAGTTTTTCTTTTTCGGGCCACCCTGCCTTGGTGGGAATCGGCCAGTGTGATTAAAAAAAAAAAAAAATGTATTGTACAACTCATAATACACATAATTAGGTTAATGTATGGTTTAGATTGTATACAGTGCAGTACTGTACTATCTACAGACCTCTAATTAGGTAGAAAGAGGATTGTAGCCCACAAGAGTTATTTAAATTTATATGCTGTTAAGAGGAAAGTGGACAGAGGTAGCATTTTAAAATAAAATAAATGTACCTTGTTCTACAAGAGAGCTTAGCATAGGAAAAAGATGATACGGCAGGTTAGGTTCCAGGCTACTGCCGTAAAACAGAACACCATTTTCTCCACTTATAAATGTATACAAATGCCAGATAACAAATTTACACTAACATATATTAACCCCTTAGCTGTCCAAACGTAGATCTACGTTCTTACTGGTAGCGCTCTGAATGTAGATCTACATTTTATTTTTCATGCCTTCAAATTTGACACAATTGGCCTGAGATGCCTGGTCAGTACAGAATGGGTCTTAACACCTGATGTGCCCAGTATTAAAAAAAATCTGGGACCACTTAGTACCTTGTGGGAGCACCAGTTCAACTGAGTGCCAGCTAGAGCAAACAGCACGGCAAACACCAGGGATTCAATGATGTCATGTCATATTAACACTCCCCTTTTAAGAGGAAAGTGATGATGACCCTGAGTTTAGTGGCTTTGAGATGGATGTGACCACAAGTGGTCGAGGAAATATCAAAAACCTCGATAAAAACTCTTATGCAACATTTGTGCAACATCTCATTTTTTATACCACTGGTAATGTCATCCTGCCAGAATGTCCTATAACCTACGGCCTAAGTAAAGAGACACAATTCATGACGTAGATCTACGGTTTGAACCCTGAACGTAAAGCCATAGATGTACAGCACGGACCCTGAAAGGGTTAATTTAGGGAACTGGAGCACAGATTCAATTCCCTAGATCAAGAGCCCCTCACAAGTGTCAAGGAACCTTAATACTGGTGAGGGGCTCTTGATCTAGGGAATTGGATCTGTGCTCTGGTTGCCTAAATTAATAATAATAATAACACTAATAAAATAATTTATTATTATTATAACGAACACCGCCAATTCAGTGCACTGTTTAACTTGCTGTGGGAACAGTTCTCTCATGCTTTGCTTACATTTTTGACAGTCATTTGGCCAAATTTTGTTTTTCTAAGCATGAGTCCTAAGAAAGTAAGTGTAAAGAACAGTGCTGAGAAGAAAATGAGAATGATTTCCATGGTTTTGGGTTGAGGGGGAAGGGGGGGGGAAGCTGGCTCGTAACTCAAATGTTGGCTTGTAACTCAGAGCAAAAAATCGACCCAGGGATGTCTCATATCTCAAAAAACCCATATGTTGGGACACTCGTAAGTCAAGGTTCCACTGTATATTTATAAACATTGTGAATTTAATAAGGTCACAGAGTTGGCAATTAGACAACAGAAGGCATGTACAGTATTGAGTAAGTGGGTGTCAAGAGACCTCGCCCACTAAGCAAGTCTCTCGTGACCAGGTTTTTGGACAAGTACAAACTTTTTTTATCATCAAATCTAATTCCCTATAGTTTATATACCTTCCCCATCATTCACTTATGACTTTAATGAAGGCCTTAATACTGCTTCAGTACAGAGTTTGAATTGCATTTTGTGATTGCTTAATGTTTATTAGGTTAATTCTTTTATTAGTAAAAATGTCTTTTCTTTTTAATATTATTTAGGTCTAAATTTGACCTAGTGTAGAAACAAAGATCCCAACCGATTCTAGTGAATTTAGTATTTGAATGCATTAGCAAGAAGCTTTTAACTCTAGATCAACAGACTGACAATACATCCATTTATTGGGTATCTAATTTATCCAACATTCTGTTCACTTGAAAGTTAAAACAAAATTAAAATACTATGTATGTTTAAAACAAGCAAATAATTTGTGTTTTCACTATACAGTGGACCCCCACTTAACGATCACCTCCAAATGCAACCAATTATGTAAGTGTATTTATGTAAGTGCGTTTGTACGTGTATGTTTCGGGGTCTGAAATGGACTAATCTACTTCACAATATTCCTTATGGGAAAAAATTCGGTCAGTACTGGCACCTGAACATACTACTGGAATGAAAAAAGTTCGTTAACCGGGGGTCCACTGTATATAAGAGCAATCAGAGACTTGCATCACAAAATTTAAAAAAAATAAAAAATATTTAAGGAGACCTACCTGTTCTCTGTCTTTTTCATGACATAGTCTCTGCCTGGCCCATCGTGCCTGACTAACTCCAATAACTTTAACTGCATATCTGAAAAAAAAAAAATTATACATACATATACAGTGGTACCTCAGTATACGTCCTTAATCCATTCCAGGATCTTGGACCTACACCAAACAGGACATATACCAGATGAATTTTCCCACAAGAAATATAGGGAAAATGATTAATCCGTTCCCATGAAAAAATCCTATTGTTATTGGCATATTATACACTGATGGGGTTGTATAAAATAATTTAAACACTGCTTAATACTAAAATACATAAATACAAAAGAATTAGATGAAATAAATGCAAATTTAACCTAACTTACTTTGCTGAAAAGAGTTGAGTGCCTACTAGGAAAGTGCTGAGAAGGGAAGAGGAGGCAATGTTATTGTTTGGAAGGAGAGTTCCCTTCTCTTTTCTGTCTCTTTTCCCTGTCTGGACCTGGCTGAAGCTCACCAGGTTTGACTTTTACTAAAAATCTGTCCAAAAAATCTGTCCTGTACATTGCAGAGTCACTTGTTTGCACAGAACTGCTAAATGCCTCAAATGATGTAGTGGAAGTTTTAGCAGTAAAGGTCGAGAACCAAAACCTAGTCATTGTGGTAGTCTACAAGCCTCCGGATGCAACATCCCAGCAATTCCAGGAACAGCTGTTAAAAATTGACCACTGTCTGGAAAACCTTCCAGCTCCTGCACCCAACATCTTGCTCCTGGGGGATTTCAACTTAAGGCACCTAAAATGGAGGAATATAGCAAATAATATTGTTGCAGTAATAACACCAGAAGGCAGCTCTGATGAAAACTCTCACTCACGCGAGCTTTTAAATCTCTGCACAAAATTCAATTTAAACCAGCAAATAATAGAGCCTACTAGACTGGAGAATACACTAGACCTCATCTTCACTAACAATGATGATCTGATAAGAAATGTCACCATATCAAAAACAATATACTCAGATCACAACATAATTGAGGTTCAGTCATGTATGTGCGGAGCCCCAGACCGACATAATGAGATTAGTCACGAGGGAGCATTCACCAAATTCAACTTCAATAACAAAAACATAAAGTGGGACCAAGTAAACCAAGTCCTAACCGATATAAGCTGGGAAGATATACTAAGCAACACAGACCCCAACTTATGCCTAAAACAGATTAACTCGGTGGCACTCGATGTATGCACAAGGCTTATTCCTCTAAGAAAAAGGAGGAGTAGATGTAAAACAGAAAGAGACAGGCGCTCCCTTTACAGGCGACGGAAAAGAATAACAGAGCGGCTAAAAGAGGTCAATATATCTGAAATGCGTAGGGAGACACTGGTCAGAGAAATAGCAAGCATCGAACTTAAGCTAAAAGAATCCTTTAGGAGTCAGGAATCGCGGGAAGAACTAAAAGCCATAAATGAAATCGAAAAAAACCTAAAGTATTTCTTCTCCTATGCCAAATCAAAATCGAGAACAACGTCCAGTATTGGGCCCCTACTTAAACAAGATGGGTCCTACACAGATGACAGCAAGGAAATGAGTGAGCTACTCAAGTCCCAATATGACTCAGTTTTTAGCAAGCCGCTAACCAGACTGAGAGTCGAAGATCAAAATGAATTTTTTATGAGAGAACCACAAAATTTGATTAACACAAGCCTATCCGATGTTATCCTGATGCCAAATGACTTCAAACAGGCGATAAATGACATGCCCATGCACTCTGCCCCAGGGCCAGACTCGTGGAACTCTGTGTTCATCAAGAACTGCAAGAACCCCCTATCATGAGCCTTTTCCATCCTATGGAGAGGGAGCATGGACACGGGGGTCGTCCCACAGTTACTAAAAACAACAGACATAGCCCCACTCCACAAAGGGGGCAGTAAAGCAACAGCAAAGAACTACAGACCAATAGCACTAACATCCCATATCATAAAAATCTTTGAAAGGGTCCTAAGAAGCAAGATCACCACCCATCTAGAAACCCATCAGTTACACAACCCAGGGCAACATGGGTTTAGAACAGGTCGCTCCTGTCTGTCTCAACTATTGGATCACTACGACAAGGTCCTAAATGCACTAGAAGACAAAAAGAATGCAGATGTAATATATACAGACTTTGCAAAAGCCTTCGACAAGTGTGACCATGGCGTAATAGCACACAAAATGCGTGCTAAAGGAATAACAGGATCTATAATTTCCTCACTAACAGAACACAGAGAGTAGTCGTCAACAGAGTAAAGTCCGAGGCAGCTACGGTGAAAAGCTCTGTTCCACAAGGCACAGTACTCGCTCCCATCTTGTTCCTCATCCTCATATCTGACATAGACAAGGATGTCAGCCACACCACCGTGTCTTCCTTTGCAGATGACACCCGAATCTGCATGACAGTGTCTTCCATTGCAGACACTGCAAAGCTCCAGGCGGACATCAACCAAATCTTTCAGTGGGCTGCAGAAAACAATATGAAGTTCAACGATGAGAAATTTCAATTACTCAGATATGGTAAACATGAGGAAATTAAATCTTCATCAGAGTATACAAAACAAATTCTGGCCACAAAATAGAGCGAAACACCAACATCAAAGACCTGGGAGTGATCATGTCGGAGGATCTCACCTTCAAGGACCATAACATTGTATCAATCGCATCTGCTAGAAAAATGACAGGATGGATAATGAGAACCTTCAAAACTAGGGAGGCCAAGCCCATGATGACACTCTTCAGGTCACTTGTTCTATCTAGGCTGGAATATTGCTGCACACTAACAGCACCTTTCAAGGCAGGTGAAATTGCCGACCTAGAAAATGTACAGAGAACTTTCACAGCGCGCATAACGGAGATAAAACGCCTCAATTATTGGGAGCGCTTGAGGTTCCTAAACCTGTATTCCCTGGAACGCAGGAGGGAGAGATACATGATTATATACACCTGGAAAATCCTAGAGGGACTAGTACCGAACTTGCACACGAAAATCACTCACTACGAAAGCAAAAGACTTGGCAGACGATGCACCATCCCCCCAATGAAAAGCAGGGGTGTCACTAGCACGTTAAGAGACCATACAATAAATGTCAGGGGCCCGAGACTGTTCAACTGCCTCCCAGCACACATAAGGGGGATTACCAACAGACCCCTGGCAGTCTTCAAGCTGGCACTGGACAAGCACCTAAAGTCAGTTCCGGATCAGCCGGGCTGTGGCTCGTACGTTGGTTTGCGTGCAGCCAGCAGCAACAGCCTGGTTGATCAGGCTCTGATCCACCAGGAGGCCTGGTCACAGACCGGGCCGCGGGGGCGTTGACCCCCGGAACTCTCTCCAGGTAAACTCCAGGTAAAGAACTTTGCGTCCACCTTCTTCTCAGGATGTTTCGGAAATGTGACATTGTCTGGCCATTCCAGACAATGCTATTATGGCTTGTTTGGGCTTTGTTGGGGTGGGACTTTTCTGCAAAGTTTTTGACATCCATTTGGCAAAGATTTCCTTGATTAATGAAGTAGGGGCTTCTTCTATCCCCTCTTCTGAACCTGATGAGAGTGCATTCATCTTAGTCTTGTGCTCATCCTTCTCAAGTTCCTGCAGCTCCTCAGTGGTCAGCTCTTCCTAGTGCCCCTCCACTAACTCCTCCACATCAACATCACTCACATCCAGACCCATGGACCTGCCCAGAGAGACAATATCCTCCACTATAGGCACAGCCTCGAAGCCCTCAAAGTCCCTTTCAGCCACTTCTTCTGGCCACAAATTCCTCCAAACACAGTTCATTGTTCTGTATGAAACTTCCTGCCAGACTTTGTCAGTGAGAGTTATGCAATGGGTGATAGTAAAGTCATCTTTCCAAAACTCTCTCAGGGTTAACTCTGTGTCAGAAGTCACTTCAAAGCACCTCTAGAATAGTGCTTTAGTGTAGAGTTTCTTGAAATTACTGAAGACCTGCTGATCCATGGGCTGAATGAGAGGAATCGTGTTAGGAGGGAGAAACTTTACAGTGATGAAGTCAAACTCCAGCAGCACATAGTCCTGCAAGCTTGGAGGGTGAGCTTGAGCATTGTCCATTATGAGGAGGGCCTTCAGAGGCAGGTTTCTCTCCTCTAAATAACTATTTACACTTGGCCCAAACATAACATTAAACCATTCATTGAAATATTCTCTGGTTATCCAAGCCTTGCTGTCTGACCTCCACATCACAGGTAACTGAGTTTTCTGCATGTTATGATTTTTAAAGGTTCTCGGGTTTTCAGAGTGGTAGATCAGTAAAGGCTCCAGTTTGTAATCCCCACTTGCAGTGGCACAGAGCAAGAGAGTTAACCTATCCTTCATTGGCTTGTGTCCTGGTAATGCCTTCTCCTCTTGGGTAATATAGGTCCTGTTAGGCATTTTCTTCCAAAACAGGCCTGTTTCGTCACAGTTAAAAACCTGTTGGGGAATAAAACCCTCAGCCTCCATAAATTCCCCAAACTCTGTAACAAAATCACTGGCAGCATCTTCATCAGCACTGGCTCACTCTCCATGCCTCACAACACTGTGAATGCCAGTCCTCTTCTTAAAATTATCAAACCAGCCATGGCTGACTTTAAACACTTCACTTTCTTGGCTCATTCCTGCCTTGTTTTTCAAAAGATCAGCATGCATCAGTTTTGCCTTTTCACAAATCATTGCCTCTAATATGCTATAGCCGGCACACTGTTTTTCTGTTATCCAGATCAAAAGCAATTCTTCAACATGCTCTAATGTCCCTGATCTCTGTTTGGTAATCTATTTCACCCCCTTCTCAATGTTAGCCGACTTAATAACAGCTTTGTTTTTCACAATTATAGATACCATTGTTCTCGGCATACGGTATGCAGCAAACAAGTTCCAGATACGCACGCCACCTTCATACTTTTCAGAAATCCCTTTTTTCACCTCCAGGGTGATCCTAACCACTTTCTTTGTTGCTTGGCTCTTCTCATTAACTTTCTTAGAACTCATGGTTAACCCTTTCAGGGTCCGTGCCGTAGATCTACGGCTTTAGATTCAGGGTCCAAACCGTAGATCTACACCATGAGCTCAGCTCACTCTGA